CTATACTACTACTCTCTCTCTCTCTCTCTCTCTCTCTCTCTCTCTCTCTCTCTTACACAGACAGTAGAACATGGCATGAAAAGCTCCGCACCCAGAGAAAGAACATTCGATTTCCCCCATTCTCCACATTGTACATACCTATTAGGCAGAGTGGACCATGAAGAAGCAGGAGCAGCCTCTGTATCGGAATACTCCCAATCATATATTGAAGTTTCAGGTGTCAAAGAATTGATCAACCGCTCCCCAAATTGGCCAACTCTCGATTCACGCTCATTCAATTTCATACAAACTTGAAGAGAAGAGGGTTTCAAAACCCTTGCTTCCCAAATGCCCAACTCATTTTGCTTGCAACCATTTCTAGGGCAACTTTTTGACCTCTCAGTCGGAATCTTCTTCTTTGGAAGGCTTCTATTAACGGATGGAACTGCGTTTTCTTTGCCTGAAATTACAGAATTTCGGCAAAGGTGAAGGCCAAGGTTTCGGCCATTAATGGAGTTTTCATGCTTCAGTTCATTAAGGGGGTTTGTGTACAGAGTTTTGTAGGATGGTTGGTGAGAACCCATGTTGGGTTTCTTGGAATCAGCCATTGGAGATAGTAGAGAGAGAAAGGAGAGATGTTAAGCACTTGGTTTTAATGGGTTTGTTTTACAGAGAGGAGAGACAGGTGGTAACTGGGGCTTGTGTAGAGGGATTTGTAAGAAGGTGGGAAAACAACCATGTTCGATTTCTAGAGGTTGGGAATCACAGAGAGAGAAATGCAAGTGATTCAGGTGCTCTGCAGTATGTGAGTGAGTGAGAGAGAGAGAGAGAGATTTGGGTACTTTGGTACTAGAGAGGAAAGAGAAAGGAGAGAGATGAAGTGATTTAGACACTCTGGATTGAGATTTCAGAATTCAGAGGAGAGAGAGAGAGAGGTTTTGGTACCTTGGGATGAGAAGGGATTTGGCGGAAGAGAGAGAAGTAGCTGAGAATTTGAAATGCAAACGGTAGTGTTCGGAGTTGAGAGAGATGGAGACCGTTTCAAATTTGAAACATGCTGCTTGCATAGGGAAATGTGACAGTGGGGGGTGGGGTGAAGGTTATTCAAATGTTACCTTTCCTTTCATTTTATCTTTTTCATTGTCATTCTTGTTGGGACCGGATTACAATGATCCATGTGGTCCCGATTACCATTATGACCTGAGGTTATTGTCCTCCATTGATGATTTGGACGGTGGTGGAGGAAGTCAGTCCCACCAATACGTGTAAGAATGTACAAATATGATCCAACAGTCAATGACCAAGTTCTTCGTTATCCAAGCACCAGGTTGGATGGCAATGGACTCCGTATGGATCCAAAAATTGGACCCGACAGGTAGGGTCCAGGTCTGAGTTCATGTGGATTTGACTTGGATATGAATAGTATTATTATTTAAATAATATTTAATATATAATATTTTAATAATATTTAAATATATATTTATAATATTTAAATAATAAAAAAAGTTATCAATAGTTACGCAGCTATAATAAATAGTAATATAAGTAGAATCCTAATCGTTAGATCTTTATCATGTAATTCAAAATGTATATCACCATATGAATTTTGATTTTTTCTTATAAATCTGATTAAGATGAAATTTTTGGTATATATATCTAACACTATTGTACACCATATAAAAAATTTATTTTCAATATTTAAAATGATTAAATTACCCCCACCATTTTTCAAGAGTATTTTGGTCATTTTATATTTTGATAAATATTTTTTTATATTTTTTAATTATGTGCCCTTTTTTTTAGTACACAAGTCTAAAATTTCATTATGATCCAATTTCTAGAAAAAAATATTAAAATTTATAAAATGATATCCATTCTGAATAATATGATGAATATCTGACGACTCTAATTCCACATATATTATTATTCATTATATAAGTGCAGCTATTGTAAGCTTTATTATTAAATAATACACGTATAATGTTAACATAATACTTACATTTATTTAAATATATTTATTTTTTGTTTTTACATTGGGTCCAATCAAGTCTGGGTTCGGCTTCGCCGAACCCAACCCGTTGTCATCCCTATTGGGCAATGGAAGGAGACGGCACCTGCAAGTCACTCCCTTCATCTACAGCTTGAAGGCACACCGATACCTCATTGCCTGAGGGTCACGGTGTCCACATGTACTATTAAAGAGGAAAATTTACTCTCTCTTTTTTTAATCATGGAAATTAAGAAGTGCGTCTTTGATTGTTTAAGGTTGAGACTTAAAAATTATTCGAACTTTGTAGGTGTGGTTCCTATAAAGTCTCAAGCGAAAACAATCAAAGTAAGGCGCACCGCAAAATCATGTAGAAATATGTATTTTTTGTGCGGAAAAAACCTATGATGGCCTAAAAAGCTCTTGATTGTAAAATTTAAAGCTCCTAAGATAGTGCAAATCAAGTATATTTATATATGATTAAAAACATAAAAAATAGATGGTCTAGATATTGCATTTGAAGATGCATTATTTTCAATACTTAGAATCATTATTTTTCATATCCGCACCTCGAGGTTAAGATGATCAATTAAGTTTTGGATCATAAATCCATGTTCAGATCCGGATCAACTGAACCAGTGGAAAATTGATTAATAAGTTTAATAGAAACAAAACCATCTTATTCAAAAAGGAGGGGGGAGACCAGGATCGCCCACCAACGAAATTCGTCATTGGATCACCTAATTCTAAAACCCTAAACAAAACTGCAACCTTGGCCCTAGCTCCTTGAGGGTTGACTGGGTCGGGCTAAATAAAATTAAAAAAAATAAAACAAGAAAGATTAATCGGGCTGGCCTTGTCTTAGCCCTAACTCGGACCGGCTCTCGGGCCAAGGTGTCACGGTCGGCCCTTGCCCAGTTCTCAGGTCATATTTTGTGGCCCAAGCCCTAGGTTTTTAGGCCGGGTTGGGCCAATAGGCCCATTGCCCACCCTAAAGGGGCCCAATTGGACATTATCAATGATCGATCCATTTTTTTTATTATGTTTGGATGTTTCATCTAGAAAAAATTACAAAAACCCCCCAAAGGATATTATCTATGCAACTTACCCCCAGCTAACCTTTCCACTCACTTTTTTTCCCATAATCACCTTCCTCGTAAAAACCCCTCAAGGTAAAAAGTTGTTATTTTTTTTGATAGAAATGCCCTTCCTTACAAAAAAAAAAAAAGTCAATTGACGGTCCCAAGTAGTGTATTGCCGGAGCGACCCATTCAACCGCCGGAGAGATGTGGCTCTAGAAGGTGTACTGTCGGAGTACATATTTGTACTGTCGGAGCACTTGTCTTTATTGCCAGAGCGCTGTGGCACCAGAAGGTGTACTGCCGGAGTATGTGTCCTCGTTGCCGGAGCGACTTATTCAACCGCCGGAGCATTATAGCTCAAGAAGGTGTATTATCGGAGCGAGTCCTTGTATTGCCGGAGCATTTAAATGGACTGTCGGAGTGCAGGGGAAGAGAGTCGTGGGTAAAAGCAATGAGGAGAGAAAGGAGGATAGTTTAGTCTTTTTTCTTTTCCTTTTGGATTGGGAGTTTTGCGAAGAAAGATAGTTGTGGGAAAAAAAATGAAAGAAAAAATTAGATGGGAGATAAATTATATAGATAATGTACTTAAGGGGGTTTTTTTTGTAATTTTCCCTTTCATCCATATATATTCATTCCACCCCCCAACAAATGGCTGATGACCATGACCGACATTTTCTAGTTCCACCAATTATCGTTCACAGGAGATCGGGGAAGGGCTAGGACATAGGCGTGGCACAATTAGGCCTAAAGAGGATTTTCAGAACCCCAGTTCCCCTCTTTTTCCTTGTTTTTTTTGTCCTTGTTTTTTTTGGCTAGGTAGTAGACAACTCCTTTTAAGACCAGGAAGGTCAAGTTTATCGTGGTGAGTCCCACCTGATAATGGACAATCTTGTTATTTACTGCCAATTTGCATGTTTAGGTATTTGACTTGATGGGAAATTTTTTGAAATCATGCATGCGAGAACCTCCTTAATATGTCATCCAATAATTCCAACAATTTATAACTCATGATGATGACTCGTTTGATAGGGCTATTTGAAATTTGATAAAAAAAATATATTATTTGAAGGATGTAGTTTGTATAGAGCTGAGGCTCTAAACAATCAAAGTAAACCACACCTTCAAATAGTGTCGTGGTCTCAATACTGGAAATCTTTGTGTTGGCCTTAAAATATATTTTCACCTTTAATTATAAAATTAAAATTTTAAAAAATACTATAAATCGAGAAGTTGAAAATGTTGAAAATTGATAGTCCAAAAATACACTGCAAGATGCCCAATTTCCAAAAACTTGAAATCTATTTTTTTCACAAGTCCATGCATATGATCAATTTAAATATATTTGGGCATCAAAATAACCTCTTCTAGTGAAATTTTTTAGGTCGGCTCTAATTTGATTGTTTAGAGCCTTGACTATGTATAAACTTTTTCCTTATTTGAAATTAAGTCAAAAAGATTAAGTGAGATGTTAAGTACTTTAACTTCTAGATATGATGGCTAGAACAACTTCAATTACAATGTCACAACTAACATTGTTTTATTCCAAAAAATTTTCCTGCAAATCATCATAACATGAATTTTGGGGCGTTCTCACTCTTTGTAGAGTCATACCCCGAAAAAATAAGAAAAACAAATTTTAACAAATAAAATGACTAAGACACCTCTACAAGCCATGGGCATTTGACATTTTTTTTCTTATTGGAAATATTCTTTTCCCTTAATTTTATTAGCTGAGTCGCTGTGGTAAGAACCTAAGAGGGGATGCCCCAAATTTCTTAAAATCAAATACTATGCGCTGTCTGATTAAGATGAGATCCTAGCGGCTAACTTGTGACACTATGAATGAAGCTATCTCAGCCATTCATTCGAATCGAGCAACTGTGAGTAATAGTCATATATATTTTATACTATGTTTGGGGTGACATGTAAAGGTTTTCCATTGATAAATTTAATGTCAATCAATATACGTAATCCTTTATTGAGGTAAACAGGTAAAGAAATAAAAAAGGAAAAGTTAAAATACAGGGTTTAAAACCAGAAGTGGATCCATGCTCAATCCCTAAGCATTTGGCATCTCCACCACACCTCTCTTGCTTCCCCATCAGAACCTCTCACATTCCCTGCAAAGTTTCTCTCTTTCTTCACCATCCATTAAACAAGTTCTCTGAGTTCTCTTTGCTTCCCAGATCAAAGCTCCTCACCTCTTTCTCAAGTTCCTCTATTGAGGGTCTTCTTTCTTCGGAAAATTACAAAAAACCCTACGACCACACTTTTTATGCAACTTACCCCCAACCTAACTTTGTCTCACCTTTTTTCCTATGCAAATACCCCCAAGGAAAAAAGTTAAGACTTTTGGTTCCAGTAGCACATTGTCAGAGCGCACCATCATATTGCCTAGAGGGTGCAAGTGCTGGACCGCCCTAAAACAACTACGGGACCGAAATTGAGTACTACCGGACCGAAACTGAGTACTGATGGACCACCTTTTACATACTTGTAGAGTCTTGAAATGCAGTAACGTCTACTACAGGACCGCTTTTGCAGCTGCCAGACCTCATTTTACACAGGCCGGAGCCCTACTACCGGACCGCACTTTACATAGTGTTGTAGCCCTACTGCCGGATCACACTTTAGATAGTGCTGGAGCTCTATTGCCGAACCGCACTTTAGATAGTGCTGGAGCCCTACTGCCGGACCACACTTTACAAAGTGCCGCCCTACTGCCGGATTGCATTTACACAATACCGGAGCCCCTATTATAATGGGATAGAAGAGAGAGGCGTGGGTAAGGTAAAAGTAAGCGAGGGTAGTTTACAGTTTTTTTGGTTGAGGGTATTGTCATAGACAGCATATTTTGGAAAAAGAGTGAGAGAAAAAATTAGGTTGGGGTAAATTACATAGAAAGTGTAGTATTGGGATTTTTTATAATTTTCTCTTCTTACATTCTAAGGCCACGACTTTGAGAGCTTCTTGGTTTCTTTTACTTGCAACTGTTTTCTCTCCTGGCGGCTTTGATTTTACTAGACATCAGCTCCATTCTTCCAGTTACTCCCTCCCTCCCTCTGCATGAATTTTCTAAATCCACTTCTACACATGTTGGGAGTGTCCTGTCAGGCGAATGGATGATTGGCTGAAAGCAATCGATAAGATTGATGCCCAAGCCAATGCCATAAAAGAAGAGTATGAACAAAGGACATGTTTAGGAGAACATTGTCAAAACAAAACGAAGGACCTGGTTTTGCACAAATTGTTTGGTCGCAATGTCAAGTCAGCAAGAGAGCACTGAAGCTTAAGCGAGATGTTGATGACAGGTGTGCGGCAACATTTGTTTTGACAATGACCCTCCTCTCTGGAGCCTGCGAGGAAAATGGAGACTGTACCTGTTGAGGGCGAGAGGACAACTCGAGAAACAAAGGAGAAGGCTATTTATAGCATACTTGACAGAAGGTATGTTATCATCGGAGCTAACGGTATGGGGGCATTGGAAAATCAACTCTCTTTCGACATGTTAATGAGGACTTCAGAAAGAGTCCTTTGCTTTAACACGGTGATATTTGTTACAGTGTAAATGACACCAGATTTCACAGAAATATGGGAGAAGATTGAAAAAGACTTGGACTTGGATCTGTCCAAGGGCAATGATGAAAGGGCAAACCGATAAGCAGTCTTTTGGAGGAGGAGAAGTATCTGATGATATTGGATGACGTAAGGAACCCCTTTGAACTCAGTGAAATTGGCTCCTCAACCAAATGAGTAGAATGGGTGTAAAATTCTGGTATCGAGTCGATTTAAAGATGTGTGGGGCGTTCTTACGTCAATCAAATATCTTCAGACAATCATGGTAAACAACCCCAACTCCGGCAGAAGAATGGAGGCTATACCTTGATAAAGTTGGCTCACATATTGAGTCCCCAACAATAGAAGTCCATGCCAAAGCCGTTGTTGAGAAGTGTGAGGGTTTGCCCCTCGCCATTGTCATTGTCAGTACAGGTGCTGCCTTGTCAATCAGGGAAATGACTGAGGAGTGGCAGGATGCTAAACGTGAATTGGAGCAGTCAGCCCCGCATCATGCTACTTGGAAGATTGAAGTTCAGTTATGATAAGTTGATGGGGATGAAGTCAAGTCTCTGTTTCAGTACTGCTCTTCATACCCTGAAGATTGTTTGATAAACCAATTGGAACTAGAAGCTTTTTGCGTAGGACTCGTAGATAGGCTGTTTAGTCTAAAAGCTACTCGCAACAAAGGGTATGCTTTTAGTTAGAAAACTTAAAATTGCAAATATGCTTGAAAGTGGCGAAGACAAAGGCACAATCAGGATGCATGACATGATGCGAGAACTAGCACTTGGATCACTTCTGCTGCACCACTGGAGAACCCCAAGTCTTGCCACGACCTCATGCTGGATTGAAAGAGGCACCAGCAGCTCCAGAGTGGCGAGAAGCAACGCGAATTTCATTGATGAACAATGATATGCAATCCCTCCGACTGTTGGAGTGCCCGGAGATGGTCACTTTGCTCCTTCAATGGAATGAATCACTTTTAACGGTTATCTCAGAAGTCAATGTCTTTTAGCATACGCCTGCTCTCTCCATTGCTCAATCTCAGTGGCACAAAGGTTAGTTCACTTCCCTCCTCCCTATCACATTTAGTGACCCCCGTGTGCTTTGTTTAGCATACTGCAGAGAACTAAAAGAGTTACCTTCTACCATCGGAAAGATGAAGAAAACTCCAAGTATTGAACATGCATGGTTGTCTTGGCATCAAAGAGCTCTACTGAGGGGATGAAATAATTAAGCAATCTAAGATCCCTAGACCTAACATTCACTTTTGCACTTGAGAGAATCCCATATCAGGTATTTTCTAGGTTATGTAACTTGGAGGAGCTGCAGGCACTCTAGCAGAATACACTGGCATACGGATGTTGGGATGGAAGATGAGCAGGAGGAGAGTGGGGCGAACCTATTGGTGTTGTCCCGCTTCACCTGTTTGACTTCTCTTATCATCACGTAATGAGATGTTGTCCTTTCCCTTTGGTTGGAGCCATTAGCTAGGGTTATAGATGATCTAGAGTTGCTCAAATGCATCATAGAGGACTTCGCGCTTAACGACCCTTGAAAGAAAATACCAAAGCGTAAGGCAGTTGGATATCAACAGGTGCCGAGGATTGACACGTGCCCCAACTCATATCTCACAATCTCTTTCTATAATAAGTTGTGAGGACTTGGAGAGTTTGATGGTTGGAGAGGAGGCCGAAGGGAATGCATTTCAAAGCTTAGAACAGATGCAGCTCCAGCACTTGCCTAGATTGGAGAGGATATGCATTGGGCTTCCACCAGACGAATGCTTTGTTAACCTGAGGAGCATCCAGCTAGTGAAATGCCTGTGCAGATTCTTTTCACAAAGGGCATGGCCTGATTACTAAACAATTTGAGAGAAACAACTGTTGGGGACTGTGATGGAATGAAGGTGGTGATAGAAGATAAGAAGTTATAAAGCGTGGAATGGGAAGATGAGGACACCAAATCTCGTCTTTATCCCGACTTCCTTCTTATTTTATTGAAGATAACTGAAAAAGGGGGAGAAGAGGATGAAACAGATTCCGACTTCATTGAGGAGTCAGACAAGAGGAAGGGTGAGTAAATTAGTAGGAGCTCATGATGGAAAACAAGAATTTGATGACAAGAAGTTACTGTTAAACCAAAAAACCAAAAACACTGTGGCTTCAAATAAGATGATGCATGATGCTTTCAATTGTACATAGAACACTTGTCGATTCCTCAGACTCGTTCTCTGGTTTCAATAAAATTGTTTGCTTGTTTCAAGTTTGAATCAAATAAATTCGCGATATTTCTCTGTAGAGCATACACTAGAAATGCAAAAATATTGAAAAAAAAAGTTACAAAATAAGAAATTTTAAATATATTGTCATTGTGAAAGTCTCATTTTCACCTAGGAATCTGGACAAATTCAGCAATCGGTTTGTCAAATAATATATGGCACTGACTTGCCCTAGCTAATCAAAAACTTGTGTGCAAATTTTCACTGAATTGCAAAAACCAAAATATTTACTTATGAATCACAGTCTAACAAGTTACTTGGCATCTTGAAGCACATGATGAAGATTAGGAAACCTTTAGTATCATCCTAATCTACTCCAAATTCCAAATTTTGTCACAAACTCCCACATCCATAGTTTCCACCAATCTTAAATGGCAATGCATTAGAAAGAACATTTTACCTCTAAATAATCACCAAGGTTTGGACCTTTGCATATTGTTAATAGAAACATCAAGGAAAATAATTTTATACACTAATAAAGATTATAAGCTGTTTATTGGCATTCTGGAAATTCTCTTTATAGATTCTCCATAGAGATTTTATTATGCTTGTCAAAAGAATTTTCAACATCTTTTCAATCTCTTTATTTCTCCCAATTTTATGTCCATTCACAAACATATGCACTACACATTTACACATACAAATGTCTACACTTCCATTGTTTCTTTAGAATCTGGTGAGATTAGTTCGCTTTGTCGCAAAAGGCATGTGCTCAAATCATGTAATCCCAATATACCTAATCAAGGGCATGCATATATGCATATACAAAAAATTCATGGATGCATAATTGTATACAACACATAAATACAATCATGTGAACATGAGAGGAAGTATGACTAAGGAAAGAAGGTTTTTGACTAATTTTAAAACTGTGGGCTCAGACTTCCTAAAGGACCAGACTGGTGTATCTATGCATAGTATAATTTTAATTGTTCTAATGCAAAAGTTAAGTGTTTTGTTCACTCTAAATTTCTTTAGTATTGAGATTGTAGATTGTACACTCTTCAAGATGCCCCTAAAAATGAAATTAATTTTCTACATAGGTCACTAGAATAGATTTCTCAGAGTGGAAAGTTCTGAATTCCTATAAATTCAACTATACAAAAAAAAAGCGCAACATGCTTCAATGAACTCTATTATTGACTCTTGCCAAAAGAAAAAAAAAACTCTATTATTGATTAGTTAATAAAATATTGTTGTAAGAGGAAAAGCTAGGAGTTTTAAGACTGGATGGCATATCTACAAATGCTAGTTGATATGCTCAATATACATTAAAGAATATAGACCCTTCTACAAAATGAAAGTGAAATGACCAGAAAGCTCAATTCTATGGGAAATAACTTGAACAAGTGACCATTTCCTGAAACCCCTTCGTAAAACATTTGCTTCATATCTAGATTGTGTGCCTTGAAACATTTATGCCCTTAAGAATGCCAATTTCCTGATTGAAAAACCATATGAGAACTTGAGAACCATCAAAATTACTAGCATAAAAAAAAAAAATCAGAAAATTGGAGATAGTCAATAGTATAGATTCTGATTGCACAAAAATATTGATCACGTCCCCAAATAGAATCAACGTAAAAATTCACAATATGCTCATCAGCTAATACATATGTACTCTCAACTAGCTGATACTCATGGGATCATAGAAAACAAAAGCACATAGTGAAAAAGCACATAGTGAGTACGCACAAACAAAAACCTTCGAGTTTGACAAAATAAAAAAAGGATGCTCAGACAAGCTTTCTAACTTCACTACAGAATTCCCACATTCCTTAACTTGTTTTGACTGTGGATTCCGCTAATTATCAGCAGTGTTCAGATCTTCATTTCCCCAACAAATAGAGTTAAACAACATTCCCTGACCCATTTTATTAAATGGTTTCACTCCAAGCCAGAAGCTTTCATTCTGCATTTTCTGGCGTTGATTACACAGCAAAAACTTCTTACTCAATTACTACTTGGTTCTCATGTCACTCTCTCTCCTCTTCAAGAATGGGTAAAAAGCCATGCCTTACAGGATTCCACTCTATTCCTCAGCGTTTCTCGAATATTTCAACTCTTACACTCAATAATCTCAGCTTCACCATCACTGTAGTCACCCCAACACTTTGTGGGGGCAACAGACTGTTTGGACTCAGACTGAACCGCTTGGCCACGTACTGGATCAAAGACTTCTGTCATTTCCACTGAAGAATTCTCGACCTCGTTGGTCTCTTTGGTTGCTATGACCTGTTCATGCTGACCATTCTCTTCTCTCACATCAGCCAGAGAATTTTCAACATTTGTGCTCTCTTTGTCATTCCCTTCACAATGGATTTCTGATGACCAAACACTGGGAGAAATAGGTGTTGGGGAAATGGGGGGACTATGGGGTTGCCAGGCTTTTCCTGGTACAAACTCAGCAGCATTAGGATTCATGATTCGTGGTGGCAGACTAACGCAGCTCCCATCAATGGCATGCTCATCATTTGGCAAATTGGGCTTGGCTCTTGGTCCCCGGTTGTGTGGCCTGTTATAACCAGATAGACGGGGCCCATATGGCACCCTGGTTGTAGCCGATTGGTGAGGGGGTTTCCTAACTGGACTAACAGGCATTGGAGGAACACTAACTGGACGAGGTAAAATTCCACCATGATCTTTGAACCCTGGCATAGAGATAGACCCCCCAAAAACTGGGATAATAGAGGGAGAAGCACCAGGATTGAATGGTGGGGCAGCAGCAGAGAGTTTCTTGTTAGTCTCTTTCAAAGTTTCCTCACTTTTTTCGTCTTCTCGTGGAGACGGATTGTTGTTCTCAACAGTATCTTTAGTTCCGTTTTCCTGTATTTCCATGGATTGAGGCTCTGTGGGAGAAGATGGGCAATCCCTGTCAAGAGTCCCCCCCTCTGATAACTCAGATTCAGAAGTGGTATTTGCCTCTTTGCATGAATCAGACCCTTCAGGCTCAATAACCAGACTCTCATCACTAACTTCTTCTTTTGATTCATTCAATTCTATCTGATTAGGAACCACATCATTTCCTTCGATAGGTGAATTTTTTGGTTCCTGTTCTTCTACAGGGATTTCCTTTTGTTCATTACTGGCATTTCCTTCTTTCCCCAAATTGAGGTCCACTTCAATCTCTTTTCTCTCCTCATTTTTCTGATTATCCTCTGTCGAGGCGCTCTCCTTTAATTGCTCTACGACTGCCTTTACTATTGTTCCTGGGGGTGCTAGGGCTACATCTTTATAGGATAGGGGCTTACCAGGGGAATGGACACTGATGGTTGGGCTTGAAAGATTAGGGCTTGCAAGATTAGGAGCTGGCTTCGTAGTCTGAGACCCTGAAGGTGTAGCTGTTGTAGCAATGGCTGGTGAATCCACAGCATTTTCCATATTAGGAGATATTGGTTTTGGGCTAAAGCCTGGAGTCTTAACTGACTTCCTACTAGTTGGGTAAGCTTCATTAGGGGAAACCCTTTGAGAGGGAAACACGGGTTTCCCTCCTGCTGTTGGAATCTTCCCATTTGCGCTTCCATTGGTTCCTACTCTATATCGTGCAGATTCCGCGCTATTGATTTGGTTCAAATTCAGTCGTGCTAAGGTTGGCCTCCTAGGACCAGGCTTACGGCTTCCAAGATATCGTCCCTTTGGAACAGCTTCTTGCCATCCTTCATCGGATGTGACATCCTCCAATGTATTATCAGGGTTCAATATATGATTGTCGTCAACAGTTGTGATGAGCTTTTCTTCCTTAGGATTAGGGTTTGCTACTAGTCCACTGATGGGTGCAGCTTCTGCATTGTTTTCCTGTCCATTGTAATGGTTGTTATTGACATATGTTGGAGATGGAACTTCATCGTTTTGGTAGTCGTCAATGCCTGTATCCCAAGGGTTTTGGCCTGGTCTTCCTTTAATCTGCAATACAGAGCAATTTAATTGAAGTTTTCTTTTGTGGCAAAAAAACAAAAAAACCCAAACAAACCCTAGAAAAGAAAATTGATTTCATCTAAAATTAACTCAGATGCTGTAATTACATCACTTAAAAAAGCATCAGGAGACTTTTATACCTTCATTCGAGCCCTTTTTTGGCTCTCTCGAACTTTTAGATCCGAATCAGGGTTGATATAATCAAGAAGGTCTGACACACTGAACCAAAATGGAGAATAAATCAAGGCCACAAATAAATAATCCAGCATGGAATCTCTCACCCCTAAAAGTGTAAATATCAAGTAATAATGATGGATTTAATTTCAATTATTTTATCATCATCATCACCTTGACAAGTAGCATCATGCAACAGCCTTTTTGTAGATCAATATGCATTATTATTACTCTTGCTATCATGATCATCAACATTACCTGAGATGACCTTTGCTGGCAATAGTCACATCTGGCTTTGGTGTACCATTACGAGCAGCTTCTTGCTGCTCCAAAGCCTTGGACTCAAAGTACTCCAGCCATGCAGCAGCGTCCTGCGAGTGCAAACATGGAAAATCCATACATTAACATTGAAGCTGAAAGGGGATTGTATAATGCAAACGAAAAATGGATTATATGCTTGTTACAGTAGTTTCTGTTACCTGTGTGCGGAGATCTTCACTTCCAAGTTTGGCTTGCAGTATCTGTAGTGTGGTCTGCTCGTGCTGGACACTTAATGAGTAGGCTTCCATTAAAGAAAGAGCAATGGCAATGGCATGATAACTGGCTGCAGTCTGCAAATTTGAAAACCAAACAACATTTGTATTACTTCAGTCACGAGCAAGCTCGAGAATTATGAACTCCTGAAGAGCATCAACGCTCAAGATATTTCACCTTTTTTAGGGGTTAGGTCAGTTTATAGGCACAACTAAGAGACTTAACACCTAGTTTGCACAAGTGTCCATGCTCATGTAGCCAATTAGATGATGTTTATGAAAAGAGAACACTCAAAAATAGCTTAAGAAACATTACACTTTCTCCACAAAGTTTATGGACAAGGTAAAACTCAAGGCACAAGTAGCCCTCAGATAGCACATAAGGGCAATGATATTGTCAAAAAAGATTAGAAAGCAAAAAATTTGATACACCTCCATGCATATGTATTCCAGAGAGAGAGAGAGAGAGAGAGAGAGAGAGAGACCTGAATATGGTCGGCTCCAAGCAGTCTCTGGTTGCACTTTAGAGCTTCATGTAGGTATCTAAGGGCAACATGGATGTTTCCCAGGCCTTCTTCCATCATCGCAACATTGATATAAGTTGCAGCAGTGTTTGGATGTGAGGGACCACATGTCAGATGCAAAAGATACAATGCGCGATTGACATACCTGTGTCCACAAAGAAGAAATTAGTTTAAAAACTTTAAAACACCAGTTTTAGAGGGAATGGAACATGTAATTGGTGGACTTCAAGGACTGCCAATCCATGGATGCACTCAAAAGGATAATCAATCCATTATCCATTATAGATTTTTCCATTTATTTAAAACATCAAGGAGACAGTAGGCAAAAAAAATAGAAGAATTCATGGATTAACATAAGCCATAAATAATATTGGAAGATTCTTTCCGACAGCGCATATGTTACAAATAAGATACATTTATTACAAAATGGAGACAAAAAGAGGCAAAAGGGATGTAAGAGTGGCTCTTTAAGAGGAGGTAAAAATTCAATATAAATTCACTATAAAGTTTATCACAACTTGCATCAAAAACTACATTGAAAGGCCAAATCGCAAGGTCAGATGAAGGTTCCCATAATAAAATATAAACCACAAAGAAAATACGCCCCTTTTGTTATTCTTATTATGTCAGATACTATCTGTTATATATAGAGAGTAGAAAACGATCGTTATGGCAACCAGAAAAGCAACGAACCACATATAGAATTGGAAAAAGAAAAACTTATTGTGAAAGCTGACCAGTTGTGAATTTAGAAATATAGAATTCCATCTGAGGTGAAAAATGGAAAACAATTTGGGGCACTCCTATCATCTAAACAGATCAATATGTCCAAAAAAAAATATACAAGAATAGAAATATTCAATTAAGGCTCCAAGGACAGAAGCTAAAGGTCAAAGGCGCACTTTAAAGCCAGTTCGGTATGCTGGAGGCGATAATAGAAAACAGCCAAATCCCCGTAACTCTTCATTGTATCAGGATGGTCGAGACCAAGCTCTCTCTCATTTATATCCAAAGCCTTTTGTTGATATATGGTTGCCTGTTATGATTCCCATATAAACTGGTTAGATTTCAATGTAATGTTTCAGACATATATCCCATGCTAAAGCAGATTGTTATATGGGAAATAAAGACATTGAAAATATTATGTGAATAGGTAACAACATACATTAGGCGCATAAGTTATACCGAAATCTAATCAAACTGGACTCGAGTCAATGTCCATAAAAAATGCATTTAAGTAAATAAACCACTCCAATATGACATTTTAACCCAAGAGGTGGCAAAAGTAGAATACCCACTTACTGAATTGAACTAAATGGTAGGAAAGTTGAAAAGATTCAAAAAATTCCATGGCTACCTGGTTGAAATCCCCAGTATGGTACAGCACGACAGCCAAGAGACTGTATGCGCCAGCTGTCATTCTGTGATACGGACCACATACTGCCACCAGTTTCGCTAAAGCCTTCAAATTTAGATTTTCTTTGTTAGGAAAAAATTAAAGAAGCATTTATTACAGCCATTGAGAAAACTGAATTGCATAATTACTTTAGTTCCATAGTTTACAGCATCCTCCAATTTTCCTTTATCCAATGAAGTCTTTGATGATTCCAGCAGGGTGCGCCCATCCGCAGATGAGCATGGAACATGCTGCAAAAGAATTTCACAGATCATGCTCAGTCATTACAAGGTGCTCCTCAGAATGAAATTTATCTCTCTTGATCATGCTCAGTCATTATCTCTCTCTCTCTCT